AATCAGTCAAATGCAGAAAATCAAAGGGTTAATAATAAGCGCACACACAAACTGTCATATGAAACAAGGATTTAATCTTACAAAACCTTCTCCAAAACTTGAAGAAGGGGAAACCTGATAGGGGTGCGATATATGAAACAACTTGCTGAGCAATACCAAATCCATCCAAAAACAGTTCAAAGATTGTGGGCAGAAGCTAAACAACAAATGAAAGATGGAATAAGTGTACGGGTCATTGGTCGAATGAAGGGAATGTTTTGTGGGAGAGAAGGTCTCAGTCTACCAGTGGATAAGGTCTCAAATGTGTCCCCCAGTAAAAGAAGAACTATTAGAGCATTGGCAAAGGCAGTTTCAATTTCAAAGACTAGCATACATCGATTTGTAAATCGAGGAGAACTCAAGGCTCACACAAATCCAATCAAGCCTCACTTGATAGAAGATAATAAACTAAGAAGATTAATTTTTGAAAAATTGAAGTCCCATTTAGACTATTTAAATAAAGAATTTTGAAAATATATTTAATAAATCCTTGAAATTTTATTTTCAGACTTATAAAATCAGAATACATATTCTGGAATTTATTTATTAATTTTAAAAAGGTATAAGTATTTATTTCGAATTAAAATCCCAATTTCGAAATTAATACCTATATTTACGGCACTAATTATTTTAAAATACAAGAAAATTCGAAATTAAATTTTGGATATTCTAGAGTTTTAAAATAAATTTAAATAAAATTATTTGATAATTTTTAGGCTTGTAATTTATTTTTCTTAGAATAAACTAAGTCTAGGGCGAGCGCGCTTGCCCGGTGTATGGATTTTTATGCATGTGATGTATGAATGTTTGCATGGTGCATGGTTGTGGCTAAGAATGTGAGGTTTTTAAATACGTCTTGCGTGTCGTGCCTCATCTCTAAATTCTGGTTTCAAATCTCTTCTTAAACCTCTTTTTCTTTGCTCACAAAGCAATGATTCTTTTCTCTCGATTAAACAAAGAAGTCTATGAAGAAGCAAGGAAGATGAAGGAGTCAAGAAGAAGAGGACCTTAGCAAGAAGGGCTGAATTTGAAGACTGAAGCACCCTTAAAGAAAGAAGGTGAAGCTGGAGATAGAGATCTCAAGTGAATGCTTTATCGTTAGTTCTTTACGAGGCCACAACCATGTCACGTTTTATTCATTATATATGTTTGTATGTTTGGGATGTATGTTTGTATGATATTCACTAGTGTATGTGCACGGCACAACCATGTCACGTTTTATTCATTATACATGTTTGTATGTTTAAATATATGTTTGTATGATATTCACTAGTGTATGTGCACGGCACATGCCATAGGTAAAATCATGTTTAAAATCCCTCGTAATATTAAGTCTGTGCCTTCTGACGCTTACTCACTCGTCATTACCAATTTCAACCAGTCAAGGGACACGCCAAAGCGGGATGCCTTGTTTACATTGGTATGGCATGAAATCCATAACAATGGATGCTAAGTAAACCCCATGTTGGACTTAACTAAGTTCAGGTAAAAGGATGAATAACTTAGAGGCACATGGTTAGGTTAATAAATAAAATCTAATTCATCTAACCTAGGGTTGTAAAATGTTACAATTGGACTACTTTGATGATTTTAGAGAATTGGGTGTGAATCATGGTAAAAAACCGTTTAAGACAGGCTGTTACCTCACTTTTAGTACGAATAAGATATACCCAAACAGCACGAGAAAAATCCTCAACAATTGTGAAAAAATAATGAGCACCAGAGGACAAACAAGGGGAATAAGGACCCCATAAGTCACAATGAATTAAATCAAAAATTGCTTCAGCTTTATTATGACTAACAGGAAAAGAAGAACGAGTTTGTTTAGACAAAAAACAAATCTCACAAGCTTGAAGTTTCTTGACAACCGAACCAGACTTATTGAACTTTAACAAGGAAATAATATCTGAGGAAGGATGACCCAAACGCTGATGAAGAAGCAAAGGATCCATGTTAGCCACATTAGCCGACGTAGAGGAAGGAACCAAGATGTATACTCCGTTTCGCTTTTCACCCTGTCCAATCACCATCTTCGACGAACGGTCCTGGATTACACAACTAAAATCATTAAAAGTTACATAACAAGTGGTGTCTCGAATCAAACACCCAATAGAAATTAAATGACAATGCAATGAAGGGACATAAAACACATGATGAAGAACCAGACTAGATGTCACACGGACACTCCCCTTTTTAGTCGCCTAAATCCGGGAGCCATCGGGGAGACAAATAGGATGAGAAGACACATCCTCAATATTAAACATGTGTGACAAAGTACCCGTCATGTGATGTGAAGCACCGCTATCTATAATCCAATCATAAGAAGAGAAAATACCAGAGTAAGCATGTGATGCGGAGGCTTCCAACATAGACATAAGTCGACTCATCTGACCACTGAGGGAAGATTGCGCGTCACTTGACGCTGCGTGCACTGCCACGGGGGACCCACTGCCGGTGGTGGTCACTGCCGGCTGGCTACTGCCTGGAACAGCGGCTGGAGTACTGCCAGAGCCGCGGCCACCATGGCTACCGGCTGGACCTGCCCCACGGCCTCCACGACCTCCACGGTTGCTGCCCGAATAACCACGACCACCGGGACCTTTGTTATATTGAGTGGGAAAACCAATAAGTTCATAACAAGTTTCGACCGTGTGACTAGTCCGACCACAATGTGAGCACAGAAACTTGCCGGTAGTAGGCGGGCGGCGATCGGACCGTGTGGCAAAGGCCACAGAGTCGGTGCGATCGTCACGAGAATGAACAATAGACCGGTGACGTTCCTCTTGTGAAATCAAAGAATAGGCGCGATCTATATCCGGCCCAGGTTCGGTAGCCATAATTTGCGACCGAATATGACCAAATTGCTCATCATCAAGGCCGAGGAGAAAATCTATGGTTTTATCCCGCTCCACCTGCGCACGAGTAATAGCTGCAACCGCACATTTACACCCATTTGTGGGATCCTGAGAACCATGAAGTTGATTCCACAAAGTAATAAACTGATTAAAGTAGGAGACCACACTTTGTCCTTTTGCCGTAAGGAACTCAATTCAGACTTCAACTGGTAGATACGTGGTCCATTGGAACAACTATACCTCTTTTGTAAATCATCCCATAATTCAAAAGCAATAGTATGAGAAACAATACTTGGTTAGATAACTCATCAACACTGTTGAAAATCCAACTACAGATTATCTGATTATTAGCATACCAAGCAGAGAGCTCATGTTCATCGGTAGGTTTGGGAACCCCCACGGATGACAAAAAAATAGATTTTCCACGACCACCAAGAGCGTTACTTATCGTCTTTTCCCATATGTCAAAATTATCACTTTTCAGCAAATATTTAGTGAGAGAGTTACCGGGACCTTCGGAAGGGTGGAGATAATATATAGATGAAGGATCGTGAATCAACCGGGTTTTCTTCGTTGTGGCAGCAACCTCGGCAGACATGGCGACGGACAGAGACTGGAACGCCGAGGAAAACAGATGACTGGGACGGTTCACCTGCGACGGACTAACGACTTGCCGGTGTAGACGACTAGCGAGGGAGACCGACGAACGACTGGCGAAGGAGACCTGCGAACGAGAAACGGTACTTGCAGCGGTAGACCTAGGGTTTCACGTGATATCCCGGGTTTTGCTCCGATACCATGTAGAATTTGGTAACTNCATTTTCAAAGGATTATGATGCATTTCGACGTGATGCATTTTTAAACCGTTTTGTTGCATCTGATTTTGATGCAATCTTGACCCTTAGATCTCACAATCTAAAGCTCCAGATTCGTTCTCATTTTTCTCCTAAGATTGCATTCTCACCAGAACCAAAATCTATATATATATATATATATATATATATATATATATATATATATATATATATATATATATATATATATATATATATATATATATATATATATATATATATATATATATATATATATATATATATATATATATATATATATATATATATATATATGAAAGACATGGCGTCAAAATATTAGTGGGTTGGTAAGTTTTTATGTACCACTATGTAACTTGTTACAACTTGAAATTACCATGTATCACTGTGTTGCCTCCACCTCAACGTTGTTCTCACTTATTTCATCGTAGTCGTTGCGACTCAATTGCTTGGCACTACGTTTAATTCAAGAAATTTAAAAGAAAAATATGAAAAATATAAATTTTTTTGTTTAGTTCAAGAGAAAAAGAGAATAATCCAAAATTATTTTTTCTAATAAAGTATTATCCAAAATCAGTGCTCAGTAGATAAATTCTACTAGCAATTACTTACGTGTTACATTATAATTAAAATTTACTCCTTAAATAATATTTCATAGAAAATGTAACTTATGGCTATGTTATTTCTTGTTGGAAAAATGACCTTCCAGTTTCTTCCACTTTTCCAGTTTCTTCCAACAACATAAAAAATACGGAGTACGTTATTATATGTAAATATAATTACTATAGAATGACATTAAATATCCCAAATCATTGCATAACACCTCAAATACAAACAAAAATGAATTCTTTTTAATATCCAAAACTAGTTTTCTTACATATTTATTTAAGTAAACATTTAATTGAATACTTTTTTTAACAATTTATTTCTTCCAACATTTTTCAAGTCCTTCCTGTTTTTTCCTCTTTTTAGTTTCTTTCAATTTTTTTCAATTTCTTCTAAATCCAATTTTAAAATTTCAACCAATAGGATAGAGCATAAATGTTGCTCTATGTGGAGTAAATTTCGATATTTTTCATCATGTAAACTTAGAATAAGTTCTCAAAATGATCATTTCCTTTAAGTGAGAAAATAGACGAAATACAACTACACAATTTTGCAACGAATGCTTCTCGACCGAAATTGATGTATTCCATTGTGTTGATTATTAACGATAATAAAGCATTTCGTCAATAAAATTTACCAAACATAAATCGGGAAGAACAGCACATTGAAGGGAAACAACTATTTAATTAGCTGAAACGAAAATGGTAAAATAGATTCCAAAACATTTCAGTCAAAGAATTGTTTTGTTATTTCATGTTTATTTGTCATCAAACATTAGGACGAATAAAAAAATATTACTCCAAATGCATAAGAACTTGCCTGTGATTCATGACAACGCTGGGTTGGATGTTTTACACAAGTAGAGTGAGAGGGCAGAGTGTAGGCAAATGCTGACAGAAGTTGCACATATGATCTCCTCTATTATAAATCATCATCAATGATAGAAATGAATGTCATACAGTTACAACATCTGGCTCAAGAGGTGATCCATCATCCTTTGCATCCTTATTATTATCATTATCATCATCACCAGCAGCTGTCGTGTCTTTAGGTTCGGCCTCTCCGTCCTGCAAAAAGCCGTCCTTGAACCGGTCATAGTTTGTAGGCTCAAGGGTCTTGAATGGGCGTTCGCCGAGTACCCGCACCAAATCCTCCTGATGCAACACCTCTTTCTCGAGCAGCAATTCCGCAATCTGAGCAACCCGCTCCTTGTGCTCCTCCACGAGTTCCACCGTGCGCCTATAAGCCTTGGAGATCCATTCCCGAACTTCATTGTCGATGATCGCAGCAGTTTTGTTGCTGTAAGGCTTGCTCATTTCAAATGCATTGTCATTCGGAGGGAAGGAAAGCAGACCGACTTTGTCACTGAAACCATATATTGCTACTTGAGCATATGTCATCTTGGTCACTTTCTCCAAATCATTCTGTGCTCCAGTAGATATCTTCCCAAGCAGAACCTAAACACCAGGAAAGAAAAACTCTGTACACACTCCAAACATACTGCAACCATTCGTATTCGCTTCAAAAGAGTGTGTGTGTACCATATATAGTGGCATAAATGCAGACATGAATTTCATAAATTACTATCAGAGCTTTAATATTCATAAGCTAAAACATACGTAGTAATTTTATCATCTTCATTTTTGTCCATTTTCAAAATTTAACTTTTATAAATTCCTTATTTAGTTAGTGAATACCATAAGAAATATCGCCATCTAATAGTTACAAAACATTTATATAAAACATACCAAATGTATTACTATTAGAAAATTATACCGTAGTAATTAATAGAAGTATATATTTTAACTAAATTATATTTTTATAAAAATGTTAAAATCTTGAGATTAGATATGAGCCGTGTGAAGCGCAGAGTTAAACCTAGTTTGACATATATCTATTATTATTATTATTATTATTATTATTATTATTATTATTATTATTATTATTATTATTATTATCATTGTGTACACTTTAATGGAAACCAATCAGTTAAAAAGGTTAAAAGAGGACCAATAAATTAAAAAGGTTAATGAAAATAAAAAGGTTAAATTAATAAGTTAAAAAGGTTAATGAAAATAAAAAGGTTAAATTACACTTTGATGGAAACCAATAACTTAAAAAGGTTTAAATAGGACCTGCGAGTTCTTAATATAAAATTTGACGTACCATATAGTAATTCAGATAGACAAAATAGGGCCAACTAACAGAATTCTCACTTCTAACAGCCGGTTGGACGGAAAGCATCCCGGAGTAATTTACTTTAAATTTTAGACGCCCCAAGAGTTATTTTTGAAAATGTGGGATCCGTTCCTAACACAAAATTAAGGGTACCCAAAAGTAATTTCCGGCTTTTTCTAACCACACCTATTTATTTCCCACCCACATTACATTTTCTCTTATTCCAACTCTCATCACATCAAAGACATTTTAGGGGTAAAATTGGAAAGTCAAACCTACTTTAAAATTTGCCTTAATATGGGAAGTGAACTCAGTTCCTTTCAACATCAACTTTATTTGTCCAAACCAAAACAGGTACTAGTGCACATTCCTTTAGGAAGTGGTTTTATTTTTACGTATTTCATCAACCTCCTCAGCTTTTTAAGGCCGCTCTCAGTTAGAAAAAATGAGATAAGGTATCTTCCAAAAACAGTGAAATCAGTAGATAAATAAAGAAAAACTAAAAATCCAAGCCATAAAATTTTGCAATTTTAGAAATGGGTACTTACTGCAGTGAACACACTTGTCCAATGCATAGAAACTAGAGGTTAAAAACTTTATACCAAATACTCCCTCAGTCCCACAATAAGTTCCACAACTTTTTTGCTGGTCCCAAAAAAAGAAAGGCTTTGTTTCCCTTATGATGAAGGAATTGTGTGATTCCCACGACTTCTTTTCTCTGCACAAAACTCTACCCCACTTTCACATTTATTAATAACCATGCCTAGACAAAAGAAGTATATTTTATGGCTGGATTTGTAGTACTACCTCTGTCCCAAAATGATATTTCCTATTCGAAAGACGTGCAAAATCTCGTGATTTTTAATATGGTTTTATTTACAAATTAGTATAAAATTAAAAATTAAACTTACACATTTAAAAACTACATCAAAAGTTCTACAAAACAAGAGGTGACCAGAATAATTTATTTTACCAAATGATCAATGAAAATATGCAAACAAAAGTTCACGAGAGACCGTAATAGTAAAAGTCTAAATCATTTTGAGGAGGGGGTATCTGATACCGAACAGGTAAGTGCATGCATCCAAATATTTTTAAAAAGTCAAACAAACTATATGATGTCCTGTCAAAATAAAAGTAGAAAGACAACCGACTTTTACCTGCTCGGCTGCTCGACCACCAAGGGTCATGCATGTCATATCAAATAGTTGTTCTTTCGTCATCAAAAGATTTTCATTGGGAACATATTGAGCGAACCCAAGAGCTGCAGTACCACGGGGAACAATTGTTACTTTAAGCAATGGCTCTGCATGTTCCAAGAACCAACCAGAGACTGCATGTCCAGCTTCATGGTAAGCAACTGTTCTCCTTTCTAGTTTGCTTATAACCTATGCATGAAAACGGGTATGAAGATATATAAATCTTTTAGAGCTAACTAATGTCGATCAATTCTGTCAAGTCATTGCACACAACCAAAAGAATTTTCACCATTCACAGCATAAAGGATAGACAATAAACTTAAATGTCAAAACAAATGAGATAAATGAAATTGAACCTCTAGATAAACGCATTGTAGTTCTAGCAAATATAAAACAGAAACCCCAAAAACATGTATCAGTCATAAGGTAAAACCTTAGTGCCTTAGCATATGAATTATTTGCCTGGAGCAAATATATTCAGCAGCATTGCAAAAGCCAGAAACTAGAAAGTATGCCTTGAAGTTATTATAAATACTATGGAAAGCCACATGTTGAGGAGGGAACCGTTAAACGCGATAAATTCCTATCAAAACATTTCCATTATCAATAAAGAAAAGTGCAGAGCACCCATCATGAAGGCATGAAGCAATACAACAAACAGCAGGTCTTAGAAGAAAACAAAGCAAGAGATAAAATTAATGAAAATTTAATATTCCAGCAAGACAAGTAGCCCAATGGTGAGGAGGCATCGCTATTGTACTAATTCCAGCAGTTGCTCAACAGGTTACCTAATTGTAGATACCAAACAATAACAACAGCAACAATAATCTGAAAGAATAATGCACCCTCTATCACATAATTTTCTTCCTGGTTTGATTTGACACAATTTGTAATTATGTAGAATCAGTGTGATTGTGGTTGATGTAGAGGAAAGAGAAATAATCTGGACCATAAACGGCCTGGGATGGAAATAAGGTTTTTAGCCGGACTTGACAAATAAAAAATTGGTTCAATGGCTTTTTTGCTACAAACAAATGCATTATGGGATAAATAGATTGAAACAACATTTAGCCGCAGGATATGGAGATGTGGCTGCAAGTCCCAAAACCACACCAAAAAGTATGAGGTAGATATGAGCATATCTCCAAAGAAATGCACGGAAGGGTACAATCACAATTGAAGATGACATTGATAACAATGATATACTTGTGAAGATATATCAACGCAACCACCGCCGCCGCCGCCATCTACAAACTCCACTTCCCATCCAAATTCAGGTACATCATAAAAAAAACTTGCTGCTTCTAGATTTTTTGTTCCATAGCCAAAGGTGCCAAAAGAATACAAGTTAGTTGCTTCAATGTTAATGAAAACTCTTGAAGAAGTTGTGGATGAAAGACATACTAAAGGGGACTTTCAGTCAACCCTTGAGAGCTCAACACGGAGCAAGGAGGAGAGAGAGCGAGGACTTATCCATATTGCTGATTTCTTTTTTGAGAACAATATATCTTTCAATGCGGCTAATTCAAGGACTTACGAAGTTATGATCGAGTCAATTGGGCAGTATGAACCTGGCCTTAAACCTCCCACTCATCAAGAGTTGTGTGTTCCCTTTCTTTTAAAAGCAAAAAAAGAGACTGAGAAGTTTAAAGAAAAACATGAAGCTTCCTGTAACGAGCATGGATGTGCAGTACTACAGTAGTACACTCATGTCATATGAATGGGCAGATACAAAAATCATCATTTAATAAATTTCCTTGTGAATAGTCAATAGGGCACATTTTTCTTTGAGTTGGCTGATGCATCGAGTGATTCCCATCTTGCCACTTGGCTAGCCAGTTTACTAGAGAGAAAAATTGAAGTTGGTAAGGACGGGATTGTTCAAATTGTGACAGATAATGGCTCCAATTACAAAGCGGCAGGCAACTTGCTACATGAGCAAATACCCACATTTTTTGGACTCCATATGCTACACATTATATTAACCTTATGTTGCAAGATATTGGAAAGTTAATTGACTTTAAGGCTACCATTGAAAGAGCTAAGTGTGTGACGACTTTTATCTATCATCATGGTAGGGTTGTCCACGCGATGAGAGAGTTACAAGATATGCAACTGCCCTTCTCACTTTGCAATGTCTTGATAAATTTATAGATACGTTGAAAGTGTTATTTGCTAGTGAGGATTGGAGTCAATCCAGACTAGCGGCAACAGAGTCGTGGAAGATAGTAACATTTTTCTGTTGCTTTTTTACTAAGGGTAGACAATTGTTTGCCGCTTAAGCAAAAAGATATTGCCACTTCTCATCATAGAATGATATTTAGTGATGTGCAAGAGAAGATTCGTGACAAGTCTTTACGGGGAAAAATAATGGGTCAAGTGACCCAACACGACAAAAGACAAAAAGTCCACGTGAGTGCATCTTTTAAATTCAAGTTAATTTAATAATTTTATAACCCAAGTTGCACTCGGACTGACGGGTATGGATGCATATACGGGGACAGGGACGGAAAAAAGCATTTTAAGAAATTATAGGATGCAGGTACGGCTAGGATTTGGCAAAAAAAAAGTAGACTCATAAATATAAACACAATGTTTAATTAGCACATAACATTATAATAGTGCAATGAGTGTATTGTCATTACTATTAACTATGGAATTATTATCCATCTTTAGGCAAGAGACTATTCAAAATTTAACAAAAAAGTTCAAACCCATAATCTCAATATTTTCATTGTAAATTGTTACTGAGTAAGATTTTTTGCATTAATTATAACAACAAATAACATGACAAATACTCCAATATTTTATAAACATCATAGTAAAGATGCACATGGTTGTTTTTTAAAATAGTGCTTCCATCTCAAGAGTAAAATACAAAGTAACTGCAGTTTAAGTTAGACCATGCAAAATCATTGCGCAAATACTAAAAGCAGACCAAATGAAAAAACTTAAAATAGCTCAATCGCCAAAAGCAGAGCAGTTTTATGTTTGATGGTGCAAAATAAACAAACTCCTAAAGCCGATGGTCCCGATTGAGTCGGCAATTGAAAGGAAGAAGCACGCTATCTCCGTCCGTGAGACAGTTCCGGTACTGGCGGTATGTCAAACAGCACCTAACTGGCGAACTCATGCAACCTAGATTATAACACTAAGTCCTATTTTTTGTGGTGTGTAGTTGATTGGTGGGACGGGTTTGGTGGATATAGAACTCCAAAAAATTGTGAAGCATATCATTGAACTTTGTTGTACTTCGTCTGAATATTAGCATGAGCATAACTGGAGCACATTCGAACTTGTAAGTAAGTAGTCCAATAATCTAATAAATCATAAAGTTGAAACACAAACAATAAACTAAAGATGGTTTTCAGTTTTTATTTAGATCCACACCAAAAAAGGAATCGGTTGGAGCATAAGAGGTTAAATGACTTGGTATTCAATAGGTACAATCGCAAGCTCTGCTATTACGGCTCCGACTAGGCGTCCAGGCACTGGATAAGGGTCGCCATGGTTGCTCGCCTCGCCATATCAGTCCTGGCGTCGATTTGGCGTCCAGGCATCGTTTGTCAGACTGACTCAGACAACTAAACGCCATGAAAACCCTAGTGGCGATTGCGATCCGAGTTTGAAATCCCTCCAACCTGGCCTTTGGAAAACCCTAGCTGTGACTGGCGACCCAACTATCCGATCCGATGCTCACACTTAAATTTTTGTTCGCTCTCCACTATTTCTCTCTTTAAAAATTTGATTCCTTTTTTTCTTTTTTTATTTTTTTCTATTTTTAATTTTTTAAACCCTCGATGTCAAGTGCCTGCACACCCCCTTTGAATTTGACTACAATACTGTCTGGACTCCCCGGCCCAACTTTAAAAATGTTGTCTTTTTCTTCTTTTTTTTCTTCAATTAAGTATGAAATACTCCATAATTAATTAAGACTTTAAGAATTATCACTTCGTATTACAATTAAAAAGGGGCAGCATAAGAAGCGTTGTACTTTATTTAGTTTCAAATGGACAGGTATGTTGAGTATGAACGGTGCACCTAATGAATAACAATATTATATACAGATTTTTATTTATTATAAAGTTACTATATTTTATCATTTAGGACTACTCGCCTAATCTTCGCCTAGGCGGTCACCTGTGTGTTGGGAGTAAAATGTGTTTTTTTGTTAGTGTTACTATTGTATAACAATTCTCAGTTATTACGTGAGACCTAGGTGATTAGGTGTCATGGCGGTATATTGGGGTCGTGCCTTGCCTTGGCATTGTGACAAGTACGAGTAGTAGTGGTTGTAAACTCTGTGTATCATCTAGACAACCACGGTCATAAAATGGAGAAGCAAATTAAGATGGAAAAGGAACAATGGATACCTTGTTCTTCTTCTCGAGACCCCCAATCACCCTATCTATTGCCGACTCAAAATGCTGCATAAGTATCAGAGTGCTCTCATTCCTTGCCGCAATTAAAGCAGCTTCATTGCAAACATTTGCTATGTCAGCCCCAGCAAATCCTGGTGTCAGAGCAGCAAGCCGCTGCGAGTAATATGATGCATCTTGGTCAAGTTTCAACTTTTTCAGATATATTCTGAATATTTGTTCGCGTCCTTTAATATCAGGCTTATCTATTGAAATTTGACGATCAAATCGACCAGGCCTCAACAAGGCTTTGTCAAGAATATCAGGCCTATTTGTGCCCGCAAGCACAACGACACCTGATGTTGTCTGAAACCCATCCATCTCCACCAAAAGCTGATTTAATGTGCTCTCACGTTCATCATGGCCACCGGAAAATCCACCACGTCCTCTAGCTCTGCCAATTGCATCGATTTCATCGATGAAAATTATACTAGGGGCACATTGTCTTGCCTCTTGAAATAAGCTCCTAACCCTTGCTGGCCCAACTCCGACAAACATTTCCATGAAATCCGAACCAGAAATGGAGAGAAAAGGCACACCAGATTCTCCTGCCGTAGCTTTGGCTAGAAGTGTCTTTCCAGTACCAGGCGGACCAACAAGAAGAGCACCCTTGGGAATTTTTGCTCCCAATTCTTCATATTTTTTTGGGTTCTTCAGGAAGTGCACAAATTCCATAATTTCTTGCTTTGCCTCATCACACCCAGCCACATCTTTGAAAAAAACCTGGAATCATTGTCAAATGCATAATACTAATTGCATCCACCAAATATTTATTATCAAAGGAGGTATATTTAGTCATTATCTATTGAAAAATTCAAAGAAAAAAAGTAACCATCACCTTGTTTTTTGAGTTCTTGTCCATCTTTGTGAAATGGGCTTTGCCTATATTAAATATTCCACGGCTACCTTTTCCACCAGGGCCTCCAACACTTATACCACCTTGCATTTTCCGTCCCATAAGGAAAAGGGTAACTAGAAGCAACACAGTAGGACCATACCTCATCATTTCACGGAGCCAATTCAATTCGTTAACATAAGTCACGGGAATATAATTATGAGGATCTATTCCTAATGCCTCTTGGGCTTCCTCGAGCTTCTCCTCAAACGATTCAACACTTCCAATGTTAAAATAATATCTGTATTGGCTGGCACTTCTTTTACCATTGGTCTCCGGTCCTTGGCTAAAAACAGCATCACTGCCACTTTGATTAGTGCTGGGTGCAGAAATCTTTATATACACTTTCGCCACTGATTTATTTGAAACAACAATGTGATCAACAACACCAGCTCCGAGCAGCTTGTTTTTGAACTCTTGAAAGCTAATCTGAAAATTATATCATTAAATCAATCAGGAAACAGAATATTGAACTGAGAAAATCACTCTTTGAATCAAATATCAATACTACCTAGGAACAAAGCTATTTAAAAATATATGATAATAGACATAAAAACATGCGAGCATGCAAAATTTGTAATTGTAGACAATATTTATCAGCAAACGCATGATGCAACAGAATGTAAAAGAATGTTTGTCATTAACTGAACTGGCAGCTATTATCATTCAAAATTATAATTTTTTCTTTTGATATTTCAAAATTAGAAATATCATTTCACATTAACTGATACATATAAAAAAACTATGCACTTGAACCTAATAGCATGATACGGGGTATAATTTTAATTGGGATGCTTCCTTAAACTATTTATACAAATCTAAGACACCTACAGTAATTCCCAGAACTAATTAACTACCAGAAATATGCAATAAAATACAAATCTTCAGTTGGTAAACGCCGCATGTTTTTTGCACGGATTAATTTCAGACAAGTCATATAGATTCAATTATTTCTAGATTCTTGGATCTCATTTGCCCCCTCAAAAGGGTGAAGGGTGACTGTTGCTACTCTGTAGATAGCACAAATCTTTAGTGATACTTCTCACTTTGGAACTAACCTCATTCTGAGTATGTGGAGTAACTGCTGTTACAGACAACCCCATCAAAATCAAAATCAAAGATGTGATCAAATTTTGATATTGCTTCAAAAAGCTTTCCTGAGAACTTCCTTGCTGCCCCGTACTAGAATCCTCTGGAAATTGTGTGTGTGACGGGATGGGGGTGGGGGGAGAAGAAGAACAAGAAATTAGATTTGTTAGTGTAAAATTCAAAGTAGAAATGAACTGAGAGGATTTAAAGTAGCTCTTAGTTCACCAAACTTGAAAGTGCAGTCCATTATTCTACCACATGTCAAACTTCTATTCAAGTAAACACAGATGAGGTTAAAAATATTCTGTCGTTTCATTAAGCCACACATAATGACATAATTAGGAAGATTAAACAGTGAAATTATCACTTGATATACTTGGAAATGCAATGTTTAAAAAAAATACTTGGAAATGCAATTTGCTATTCAACCAGGTGTCAAACTTCTCTTCAAGTAAACACAAATGAGGTTAAAACTATTGAGCCGTTTCATTAAGCCACAAATAATTAGGGAGATTAAACAGTGCAGTGAACTTATCACTCACTATACCATTAGTGCTATCCCTAAATGTGCACATGCAATATAAAGCAACCACTCAGGCCGCCATACACAAATGCATATAGAGGTACTAATGTGTGTCAAGACCAAGACTTTGCATCATGGGGTTGCTTCCAGGATTTTTGCTGGTCCGGACAGTTGCTCCATCATCTACTTGAGATTTATGATAAGAGGCAAAGTGACAATGAGATGTAGTCGAGAGGGAAAAGATGGTGGCAGGTAAGTATTTGATATTTATATGTTGAATCTTCAAGGATTTGACAGAAGATTGAAGAGCTCAGATAGCATTGCCATTGGAGGGGTTGGTACCCAAAACATTGGCATCTACCCCAGATGATGTGCCAAGACGAGACTAAGCGTTACAGAACAAGAGTGGTGACTAATTGAGGACGTGTAATCTCCTGCCTTTCCTATGGTGGAAAGCTTCGGTTAAAGAACAGATGTACTAGGGCAGAACTATAATGATTTCTTGGAGAATCCTGCTATTGCTACTGACACCTTGCCAATCTTACGGGTATATGCATGCCCGTGTAATTCATCAGGTAGAGTAAATCAAATAGCAATAGATGTTATTGATTATACCAGAGGCATCACATCAACACTATGCTTCGATGTTTGGGTGCAAATTTTTTAAGTATAGCATGCATCCAGTGCTCCAAGACAAAGTTTGATACGAGTACAAAATGATTTCACTTAATAAAAAATAAACTAATTGCAATATCACCATCAGAAAAATGATTGCAAAACTCTAAGATCACACACCTACTGAAACACTGTTAAAATTAAGGATAGCTTGCTGAAGAATCATAAAGATGAAGGATGTCTAAAAATTAAGGGTTAACTCATTTTTAGATCATTAGGATTAACTAAGTAACTGACAGTCTGACACTAACTTTAATGTCAACAGACATCATCCCAAAACATAGTTGCAACTAAGGTGGTGATATATGGTAATGCTGATGACAACTTCATGTAGATTACTCAAGTTGTTTCCCGTACTAGAGTTTTGAATGCTAGGAATCGGTGATTTGCACATTTAGTTTTTACCAAAGTTATCATTATCACGGCGACGCGCCGACGCCTAGGCGTCCAGTCACCCTTTTACTCCCGCCATGGGAGCTCGCCTCGACTTATTTTGCACACCTCGCCTAAGCGTCGCCTTGGCCTCACCTTTCCTCGCCTGGGCGTCGCCTAAGCCTCTATTTGGCTCGCCTAGTCCAGTACATTTGTTTTTTTACTCCAGTGCTTTATTTTTATTTTTTTTGTGTGTTTTATACCCCCAGCTCTAGTGCTTTACTTTTTTTAAGTGTTTTGTACCCCCAGCTCAAGTGCTTTGTTTTTTTAATGCTTTATAAATTAGTTTAGTTGCAAGTTAATGTTTTTTCTCCTTTATCTTCCTAATTAATACTCGGTGTTTAATTTTTTAAATTTTAAATGATTAATTTATTACCAACTTAAGTGGGTAAAGCTTTTTTTCAACTTTGTTTTGTAGGAAAGTACTGAAAAGTAACTTTGGTAGTTAAACTTTGATGTATTAGAAAAATTTAAAATTTACCAACTACAATATATAATTTGATATATTTATATTAGTGTTTTTAATGTATGGCAACTCTCCTATATTATGTGTTGCCTAATTGTCGCCTAGGTGGTCGCCACGACTTGGCACCGTGATAACTACGGTTTTTACGATATGCACTTTTGGAATATAGGTACGTCATGTTGATATTCATGTGCACACTAAGTTCACATGTTTTATGCACTAATATCCTTGTGCAAACCACAGTCAAATAGTTAATGCACACTTACCCTACATAATATGCATGCTTAGAATTGAAACTGCTCCAAAAACAAAAGCTAAAACTTTGAAATAGACTGGGGACACACCATTTGTGTTGGGGATTCCTCCAAGTCCCACACCGGAGGGAGAAGAAAAAATGGACCAAAATATATAGGTTCACCCAACCTCATTAGTATGAGGCCTTTTGGGAGGTGCCCAAAAACAAATCCGTGAGGGCTTGGCCCAGAGCGGACAATATCATACTAATGCAGGGTTGGGATGAGGGCACGCGCAGTCCCAACATGTGGTATCGGAGCCCAGGTTCTTGCAGGCGGGAGTAGCGGACTGTGCAGTGTGGAAAAATCTCGGTGTGACGGTGTAACTAGGACCAAGACCAAGAAAGAGGATCTGCAGGTGGTGCCTTGTGTCGAAAGTCTTCCCGACGAGAGGAGGTCGGGCGGCGCGTCCCGTGAAGTTATAGTCACGGCGGTACAAGATGATTTGGCGGATCAAATGGTGTAGCCCAGCGAAGGAAAGATCTGCGGTTCGAGCCTTGCGTCGAAAGTCTTCCCGACAGGAGGTCGGGCGGCATGTCCCGCAAAGAGTGTGTAGCGGTGCAAGATGGTTAGCAGATAAAAAGGAAAAATGGATTACCGCTGGAGGGGAGGTCGGAAATTGTGTGGTCCTTGGTTGAGGGGAGGTTTGTTGGGGATTCCTCCAAGTCCCACACCGGAGGGAGAAGAAAAAATGGACCAAAATATATAGGTTCACCCAACCTCATTAGTATGAGGCCTTTTGGGAGGTGCCCAAAAACAAATCCGTGAGGGCTTGGCCCAGAGCGGACAATATCATACTAATGCAGGGTTGGGATGAGGGCACGCGCAGTCCCAACAATTTGCAAAGCATAAATGAATCACCCTGATCTCTTAAACATAACAAGTGAAATCGGATGACTTAAGCAGTGTTCCAACATGATGAATTGATGAGTAGAGATTCATATATGCTCCCTAAATTCATATATTGAGAAATATAAATGCACCAATTGAGAGAGAGTGAGTTGCACACCTTTTGCAGATTCTGCTTTTTGGTTGTTTGATTTAGGCACTTCTTTTTTGTTCTTCGGATAATAGTTCTCATAGTCTAAAAAGATCGAAAAAACAAAAATATCCCCATTAAACAAAACAATTAACAAAGGACAAAAAAAACCAAGACAGAATGAACTGATGATTTCCCTCACTTTTCTTTTTAGGAGCCTGACTGCAAAAAAGCCTACGCAGCCTCGGGTTTGCGAAAAAAGAGCCAATATCTGATGAATAAGCTTTGTTAAATGTCCCCTTTCCAGCCCCAATAGATGTCAAATAGCTTCTCACAAGCCCTAATCCAGCATCAATGCCTGAATTGCACCGACTACAAACCGTCAACTCACTCAAAGCCTTGGTCTTTAAGCCATAACCACCAGAAACGAATCCCTATGTACAGCAAGCCATTGATAATGATCAAATTCTAGAACCCAAAAAAAATTAAAACGAAAATAAATGATGCCATCTATGCTTACTTGATTGGCCTTAGAGCAAGATGATTTAGCAACAGAGCGTCCTAAACGTGAGAGCATCATTGTTCAAATGATCCAAACATGAAGATTGCAAACCCTACGGGGTGAAATGGACCCTGCAGATTTAACAAGATAATAACACCTAATTTACGTGGGCAATCAGATATACACTCATAACGGTTATCATACACTATATATACTTGTATATAGATTCAGCTGCTGAGACAGAAGTGATGAACGGAGTGATTTTTTCAGGCGAGAATTCAGATTTGCGTGAAAACAGAGAAAAATCGAAGCAGAAGCGTGACCGGGGACTACCTGGAAATCTTTAGACTGACTTGGGAACTTTTCTTAATTACATTTCCACCCCGTGAATTTAATGAATTGGCACCAACAGTTAGGCTGGACCCACCGAATAGACCTCATAATCATCGAATGCTCTTCACTTTTTGGCGGTCCACAATCTGCCAAGCCGGTATCCATGGATAAAACAATATCCAAATTGTACATTTCTATTATTCTCTCTATCCTAAAATTTATTTCTCATTTCTATTTATGAGATTTTATTAATTTTATTTTTAATTTAATTTAATCTATTGTAGGTGTAATTAAAAAAAACTATATATTTAAAAATTACGTCAAAAATTCTATAGAACAAGAGTTGACAAGACTATATTATTTTATCAAATAATTAAAATTCTATAGAAAGTGATTAAAGTTTGATCATGTGAATAGTAACTGTGAAAAATGTTTTAAGACCAAGAGTCTACTACTACTAGGTAAAAGTAAGACCGTATAAAAGGGCACGTTATGGACTTTTTTTGTGTTGGAAAGAAGTAATTTTTCCAATTTTATAAACTTTTTTCAATTTTTTCAACTTCTTCTAATTTTGTTTGTATTTACTAACTCATTCTAATTTTTTCCAACAATTTAAAAGTATTATTTACACATTATGAATATATACAATAACATCTATATTCAAATTTATAACATACAGCTAACACGGATAAAAATGTGTTAGATAAAATTAGGGCTATAAATGGATAAACAAAAATTTGTTTATCGTCTACATTTGTATCTGTTTATATGGAAAATATTTGCATCCATTGAAAGAAGTTATTATATGTATCTGATCAAGGACATCTGATTGCTAAACGAATATGAATTTGATAGTCATACATTTGATCTGTTTTTAATATGCTCTTGATAGACATCCATTTGAGTAACCGTTTATTCGTGTATCTGATGCTTATATATAGTTTTCCCTAATTTTTATTTTTATATTTTGTTTTTTATTGACATTTCAAAGTATAATCCATTTTTATATGCAAAATATATGTATAGACATATAAAAGTATGTATGTACTGTGTATATCTTTTTACCGTATAGAGTTAATGTAGAACATTATGCAATGTAACAAATTACAATTGAATGAATAAAAACTTGAATAAATTTAATTGGAAACTAAATCATTGTTCAATTTGACTTCAAAATTAGAAACGGATATGGATATATCTCATATCCGACCAATATGCGGCGTATGCAGATACGGTTTTTATTTTTAGTATCTGTCAAGATTTGTACCTGAATTCGATATCCAATGAAAATAAACAGATACGGATCTAGTAGAGGCACATCTGTTCATATTAATATCCGTTTACTCGCCTAGATAAAAAGTGTACAATAATGTTAATGTTTTTTTAATTCGAATGTTGATTTTATTTTTTAAGATAAAAAATATGTTAATTTTAGTTCTCATTAGGGGTGGGTGTGAAATCCGTTCCCGTTGGACTGTTCTGAAAAATTCTGTATCCGTTTTGTAATTGTACTGATATATTGGGACATATTTTTTTTATCCCGAACCCGTTCCGGCCCAATATCAAGTGGGACATGAGCGGGACAACTTAAATTTATACCGATCCGTCTCGTTTGTCCCGTTTCATCTACTCTTCTAATATATAATACTAATTCTAGTTCAAAATCTATATACACTCATTCTTTAATTAATTAGTTATTTAATTAAGTTAACTTCATAGGCTTGAAATTTATTTGGACCCATTCCACTCATTGTTTTTTGTTGGATAACTAGATGTTTCTTTTTTTTGAATGACATGTCACCTTCTCCCCCTTCTTATATTTGCGATTAGGACAAAGTAGGACGACCCGAATTCGTCCCGGTTTATTCTGATCCCAAATTTTATGGGACAAACCGGGATAAGATTGTAATCTGAACCGTTCCAGACCGTTTATATATAACGGGACAAGACGTGGGACAACCGAAAACCCAGACCGTCCTGATCCGTGCCCACCCCTAGTTCTCATATAGATTTTCATTTTAGTTCGCGCCATTTTGATTGTATAGCCTTGAAATGCATTTGCTGCTGTAATTGCAAGAGAATCTCATATGCACCTGATGTATTTGAAAAATCCACACCATTTAGCTTAGTATGCATAAAGATTTTTGTCCTTCAGAGTGTCTATCTAAACTATTATTATTATATATTGCTTAGAGACAACAGTTTGAAGCTTATTATGATGCTTATATGATGATATTGATGTTCTCTAGGAGATGATTTTTACAAAAAACCTCTGTCTAGCGTTTAATTTTTTGTGAAAAAATCTATAAATTTTTTTTGAATTCTTAAGTGATTTTATATTCCTACTTATTTGCTAGAATTTGATATCCAATTGTTAAAAACTCACATGGAAACTGAATTATTTATGCTTAGATTGTTTTAGTGTTTTAAGAAACACACATATTGCTCTGCTTACTCCTTGGCCACCTTGTGCTTACTTCTATGTTCCTACTTGTTAATGTTGTTGTTGTTCTTTTTCTTTCTCTTTTTTCTTTCACCTAGCTTAAGAAAAAATAGAAACCTGAAAATTAATAATTGAAAATTTGATTAAACAAATGCATCTTGTTGGCGACAGAAGAAGGAAGCCGGATCAAAGAAGGAAACTGAATCCCTTTGGGATTTGGTTTAGTATCTTTCCTAGTTTGTTTAATTCTTGTTTTAGTAGGAATAGAATTTTTCTTGTTTGTTTTACCCTCTTCCTATATAAAGAGGGGTAGATCTTTATATTTCACAAGTCAATTCAGTATACAAACTATTTTCTCCTTATTAATATCTACATGATATCAAAGCCAGGTTGATAATTGGTGGAGACGTGCCGAGTACACAAAACACCTCTTTGAATTTCATCACACACAAAGTGGCAATCAATCTCAATGTGCTTTGTGCGTTCATGGAAGACAGGATTTGTTCGATCTTGTGATGTCCAAGCTGGGCATGTTGAACTCTCATGCTTCAGCTTGAGAGGGGGGTGTTGGCGACAGAAGAAGGAAGCCGGATCGAAGAAGAAACCGAATCCCTTTGGGATTCGGTTTAATATCTTTCCTAGTTTATTTAATTCTTGTTTTAGTAGGAATAAAATTTCCCTTGTTTGCTTTACCTTCTTTCTATATAAAGAGGGTTAGATTTTTATATTCACAAACCAATTCAATATACAAACTATTTTCTCTCTTATCAATATCTACATATCTATAAGTATGTTGTTTTCTTTTGTGAGCTTATTTATTTATGTAGGTTGTATCTAGCACTAGACTTTTGAGAAATACAATGCATCCTTGATAACCTTGCAACATATATATATATATATATACATATATACATATATATATATATATATATATATATCTGTGTGTGTATGTATGTATATATATATAGATTTTGGTTTTGGTAAGAATGCAATCTTATGAAAGAAATAAGGATGAATCTAATACTTTAGATTGTGAGATCTAAGGGTTAGGATTGCATCAAAATTATGTGAACCAAAATGGTTTGAAAATGCATCATGTCGAAATGCACCGAAATCCCTTGAAAATGCACTATCTCAAAATCTGAGTGCAGGATGCAATCTGAGCCGCACGATGCATCAGATCCAAAGGCTATATTTTATTCTTATTTCTTTCACCAAGGTGCATTCTCACATGAACCGTCGCATATATATATATATATATATATATGTATGTATGTATATATATATGTATGTATATATGTATATATATATGTATGTATGTATGTATGTATGTATATATATATGGGTGGGATCAAGTGAGAATAAGTTGCTGTGAAAGAAATGAGAATGAACTAGATCCATTAGATTTACTCCATCGTGCGGTCTCCAATATGCAACATACAGTATTTTTTAAAAGGAAAGGGAAATTGTTATTGGGTATGGTAAATGAGTCAGACACGTGGAAGGGCATTTCTGGAAATGGAGAAGTACATTAAAATGCGTAAAAGGTGCAAGTCTTTAATATCCCGCCACTTACGCATTTTGCCTTGAATAAAAGTCTTTTGCTTTCTTCCATAACCCTTTTCCTCCGCCGGCGCTGCAATCTTCAAGAACTTCGTTCCGAGTGAAATTGGTAAGGGAGTGAAACGCGTAGTGCACGCCGCAAAAAGAAGGAGACCTCGTGAAGGAGGAGGCTGATAGAAATTGCATTCTCAGACATGACTACTACGGGTGATTCAGTGGTAGGAGTGGAAGGTATGCATTTTTTCTCGAAAGGGTCTCTTTGGTCTTGGGTTTTGTTTTTATTGCATGTCGTTAATAAATGCATCTTCGACATTCTTCTTTGCAAATTTTGGGTGCATCTGTAGTTACTTTTTCCGTATTGCATTAAGGTTTGGTTTTGACATATGAAGTGCAGTGGTAATGTGGTTCATTTTTTATAAAAAGTGTAATAGTCTTGTCTTTTATGGAATAGATATTGAAATTTGGGCTTAGGGATTTGTTCAGGGAAAAAAATATGACTTTGGTCTGAGTATATATGTGTTCTAGCATTTTACTTATCTTTATGCTCATGTGAAGAATTGATGTTTAAATGCGAAGAATATTCAAGTAATATGTGTTGGTGGGCCCTCTTTATTGCAAATTAGTGCACAGTTGTTTAATTTGATTAATTACCTGTCATGGGGGCTGGACATTGCAGTTGTACTGCATCGAAAAATGATTTCAGACTGGATATTAGTTGCATTAGGCTTTTTGGTAGATGCATGATGTGTTTTTTATTGTATGGTATTAAATTGCACTTGTAATTCTGTAGTGTATTGTTATGATTTGGTGCATGTGTGTGTAAGCATTATATGGAAGTTATTTTGTTTATATTTCTTGTGTCAATAATTTTTAGCATGTTGTATTTTAACAACGATTTATTTGTTATTGTGCATCTTGAATTGTTTGTAGATGTGTTGGTTGTTTTTGAAGTATGCAATGTTGTCATACGATTGAAGTATGCAATGTTGTCC